ACCATCACCCCAACACCATCACTTCCACCACCTCCACCATCATCACCTTCATCACCATCACCAGCACCCAATCTCTAAGCCGCGCCCCACCCCCTGATTTCAAGATGAAGAGACGTGGGAAGCAGTGACGCGTCAGCAGAAACGCCTTCCCCGCTCTCGTCCGGTTGCCTTAATCAGGTGCCGTTCGCATTTGTGGTGTCTTGGAACGTCATTCTGCACCTCATCTGGTGCCCCCTCTGCACCCCCTCTCAGGAGGTCTCTGGATGTGGAGCTCTGCCACCTGTTCTGGGTGCTCACACCACACTTCCATCCTTGGCCTGGCCTCTCTAGGAGGGGAGGTGCCCCCACTTTACAGAGGTGGGGTCTGCAGTCACGGAGGTGGCAGCGGCGGGATGGGGTCTGGCTGCCTGGCCATGCAGCAAGGACTCTGCAGGCGGTGAATCCCTACCCACTCTCAGTACACAGGGGTGTCCCAGCCCAGGAACTGTCTCACCTTCATGGGTCATTAGCTCCCACGCCCACAGGGGCCGGGCAGAGAAGGGAAGCGGGTATGGGGCTCAGGGCCCTGAAGCATCCGGCCTCAGGAGGTGGCGGCCAGAGCTGTGGCATTTTCAGGAAGAGCCGGAAAGCCAGGGTTCAAGAGTCTCTCCCGGGTGTGGGGCTGGCCCAAACTCTCTTCCCTGTTCTAAGTTAGCCCATGGAGTCCACTGGCCACTGCCCTCTTGCCCACCCTGTGAGGGCCACCGTGGCAGCCAGTCACCTGGCGTTTCTGCTTGTCCGAGGCAACGCTGCTCCACCACAGCCGGAAGAACTCCTGCTCCACGGCGATGAACCGGCGCTGGGGCCTGCGGATCAGCTCCTCCACGACAGAGGTGTAGACGTTGGCCGCGTACGCGTGCATGCTCTCCTGGAAACAGGCCATCACAACACCAGCCCTTGAGGGACCCCAGAACCCTCGGGCCCCAAGGGCCAACGGAAAAGATCTGGGGCATCAGAGTGTGCCCGGGGCCCTGCCCTCCCAGAGCGCATGGTGAGGGCTGGGCACGGAGAGACGTGCTCCCCTGGGGGACATCAGAGGACACAGGGATGATCTGGGGGGCCACACAGCTTCCCGGAGAGGTGGGCGGGCTGGAACCTGCGGTGGGAATGGGGATCACAGGGCAATCCCAGGGGTGAGTGGGCGTGGCCCAGTGACCCCAGAGGGGCTGCCCCCC